ATCGGGGTCTGGAGACCCCTCCCACACTAGAGTCGCGCACACGGTTCAAAACTCCCCGTCGCGCACTTCGCCGCCGTTCCGGCTGCCGAGCGCGCGATACAAGTTGATGTCGATGTCGTCGCGCAGGAACGGCACGCTCGCATCGGTCATCGCAAAGTGGGCCCCGCCGGGGTGATGGCTGCCGAAGTAGAAGTCGTTGATCTTGAGTGACTTTTCGGCGCCGGGCGGCGCCGTGGCGTCTTGGTAGTAGTAGCCAAACTGCTTGGGATCGGCGTTGATCGGGTAACGGACATTCTTGGTGGCGAAGGACCTTACTTCGTCGATTCGCCGCGTCGGGCCCGGAGGGCCGTCCCAGATGGCGCCCTCTAGCAAGGCGTCCCAGCGAGTAACGCCATAGACACGCTCGCCGATGGCGAGCGTTTGGGAGGCGCCGTCTGTTATATGGGAGAATCGAACCTCGCTCCCGGGGTAGAAGACGCCATCAATGTAGAGATCGCCGTTGAAAGTACCGGTGAGGTCCCACACGCCCTCGGTTGTCGCGCCGGAGCCGTTAACGCCGGCGTAGTTGGACCAGCCGCGGTCGAGTTGTAGGCTCGAAGGCGTCGCCGGATCGTAGGGACCGTTGTTCGTGGGACGATCAGGCGAACTGGGGCATACGAAAACTTCGGGCACGTGCGTCGGGTAGGCGTTGGCGTATCCGCCGTCGTCTTGCAGGCCAACGAAGTCTTGTAACGCGGACTCTTCGATGCCGTCGAGCACGATCGCCCTCCAGGAGACGCCCGCTCGCTGACGCACATCGTGCAATCGTGAGCCGGGCGGCAGCACCTTGTGACGCGACTCATAGAGGTGCGCGGCGAGCACCAGTTGCCTCAAGTGATTCGCACACGTCATCCGCCGCGCCGCCTCGCGCGCCGCTTGGACTGCCGGCAGCAGCAGCCCCACCAGCACCGCGATGATTGCGATCACCACCAGTAGCTCGACGAGCGTGAACGCACGACAGCGATCGGCGGCGCCGGTGATCATCCTGGACGGCGTCGCGCCGTGTAGAAGAGCATCGCAACGAGCGACAGCGCGGCGCCGGTGGGTTCGGGGATGGCAAAGAAGGCCTGCGCGTACGCCGAGGCCGGCGCGCCGACATCCTTCATGACCTCGAGGAA